AGTGGAAGGTGTCCCTGTCCATGGCAGGGGGGGTGGAACTGGATGATCTCTGAGGTCCCTCAAAGGACACGGTTTAAACCTTCATAACAGACGAGGGTGGTTACTTGATTCTACCGTGCAGGAATGTTAAATTTCTCTATTTAACATTTGAGATTAAATAATAGAGAGTATAAAAAATTCATTAATCCTTGGGTATTGTTGATGTCAGATGTGCATTTTCTTATTCAACCAACACAAGTGAGCTTCCTCTCAGCAGCCCAGCTGGGTAGTTTGTAGTGCAAACTACCTTTAGTAACACTGAGTATTTTCTGTGTTTGCACCTGGGATTGCCAAATTCTGTGGTCCAGCATGGAACAAGGTCCTGGGGACCTGGGTTTTATTCCTAGGTTTGCCTCTGACTTCTCAGGTGGTCTTGGACAAATACTTTTTCCATTTCTCCCTTGAATATGCTGGTTTCTACTCTGTAAAAGGCTCACATCTTATTTGCTCCTATTGAAATACAAAGTATTTTCAGCTCCGCTAAAGAAAAGGAGCATTTTCTAGACAGTAGATTTGTTAATTATCTGTTCTGTTTTTTTTTTTTAATTATTAATAATGAATCTCTTTTTAACTCTGTATAATTTTAGGAAGTCCTTTGACAGAACGTGAAGTAGCAGCACCCAGTAGCTGTGTGTCATTTTCTGTTGCTGGTGCAGATGCTCCAATAACTACTTCAGTAGTAGAAAACACAGACTCACCAGTCTGGGACTTTCAGCAGCAAGCACGGTAAGCGGTGCGACTCGCACGGACACTCTTTGGATCTGACAGCCAGGCGAGGTGGGAAAAGGATATAGAATCATAGAATCACAGAATGGGTTGGGTTGGAAGGGACCTCAAAGATCATCCAGTTCCAACCCCCCTGCCATGGGCAGGGACACCTTCCACTACACCAGGTTGCCCAAAGCCTCATCCAACCTGGCCTGGAACACTTCCAGGGATGGGGCAGCCACAGTTTCTCTGGGCAACCTCTTCCAGTACCTCACCACCCTCAATATATCCAGTTAGGAGTGCCTTTCTGCTTACCAGCCCTGTGCTCTCACCTAAAAATGCTTCTTTCCATGTTTAACCATCGCCACATGTTTATATTGGACAAAAAGTTGTTTGAGGAGGCGTTGGTCTTAAAAGCTAACATGGAATCACAGAATGGTTTGGGTTGGAAGGGACCTCAAAGATCATCCCGTTCCAACCCCCCCTGCCATGGGCAGGGACCCCCTCCACTACACGAGGTTCCCCAAAGCCCCATCCAACCTGGCCTTGAACACTTGAGGAAGGGCAGTTTGACCTGCACTGGACCTTGGCTACATTGAGTTTTGGCTTAAGACCTCGGGTGAGTCAGTCTGTTTCCACTCATCTGCAGTTTCCCCGTCTAGAGGAAAGGGCTGCTAATTGCTGAAGGACTCTGGGGAACATTGAGTAAGACTCGATCCAATTTATTCACTTTTTCATTTATGTTTTACTTTGTTTCACACTTAGAAATTACACCCTCATTCAGGACCAGAGCTCTGAGTTTGGATTCACCCACTGTAAATGGAAATATGTGGAAGTCAGGTTTCCAGCTCAGAGCTGTTTTTCATACATTTCTAGGTTGGAAAAGACCTTAGAGATCATCGAGTCCAACCGTCCCTAATCCCCATTAAACCATATCGCTAAGTAGATCATCCACCCTATTCTTAAACACATCCAGGGATGGGGACTCAACCACCTCCCTGGGCAGCCTATTCCAGTGGCTGACAACCCTTTCAGAGAAGAAATACTTCCTAACATCCAACCTGAATCTCCCCTGACTAAGCTTATACCCATTTCCTCTTGTTCTATCACCCAACACTATTGTAAAGAGCCCTTCCCCCACCTCCCCACCATCCCTTCTCAAGTATTTGTAGGCTGTTCAGCCTTGGCTTCCTCTGCAGTCACTGGAGAGACGCAGCACCTCCACACGATGGGTCACTTGACCTGTGTTAGACACACAGCTTAGGGGGCTGAAGCTGAAATTCCCTGAAGCTGTCTATTTCTCTCCAGTGACTGCCAAAATAGTGTAAGGAACATAGCTGGGACTGAGATATCTGTGCCTAAATTAGAGCAGATGAATCCACCACTCCAAGGAACCTCAGCAGATCAAGTCATACATGGTAATTATCAGGAATAAACCTGTGTTTGTGGATTCCCCAGTGTTTCCATACCAGATTTTGAACAGGTTGCCCAGAGGAGCTGTGGCTGCCCCATCCCTGGCAGTGTTCAAGGCCAGGTTGGATGGGGCTTTGGGCAACCTGGTGTAGTGGAAGGTGTCCCTGCCCATGGCAGGGGGGTTGGAACTGGATGACCTTTGAGGTCCCTTCCAACCCAAACCATTCTGTGATTCTATGATTTTAAATTAATTTGAAAGCAGTAGCCAAAGCTGTTTTCTAAACCAAGTGGGACAAGTCTGTTACAGGCAGCGGGAAAGCATACTGAATTTATTTTGTCCATCAAAAAACACATCCAGATATATACCAGTGCCTGCACAGGAGTGGGCTTTTCTGCCAGACTGCTGAGTTGGGTGTTTGGCTTTAGGGAATTTGTAATCACACAGAATCCCAGAATGTCAGGGATTGGAAGGGACCTCAAAGGATCATCTGTCCAATCCCCCTGCTGGAGCAGGACCACCTAGATCAGATCCCACCAGAACACGTCCAGGTGGGTTTGGAACATCTCCAGAGAAGGAGACTCCACAACCTCTCTGGACAGCCTGTTCCAGTGTTCTGTTCCCCTTACTGGGAAGAAGTTCTTCCTCACGTTTAAGCAGAACCTCCGATGTTCCAGCTTAGATCCATTTCCCCTTGTCCTGTCATTGGATGCCACTGAGAAGAGCCTGGCTCCATCCTCATGATATAATAATATAAAGTAATAAAAAGATTATAAAAATATATATATATTAGATGTAGAGAGTAATATAAAGATTAAGGCATTGACAGACTCTGATAGCTGAAGTTTGAAAGTTTTGTTTCAGAGGTCGCTTACGCTCAGAGTCGTACCTGAATTGCTTCGAGCAGCTTACAAGCTGTTCTACATTTGACACTTCAATTCTCAAGGTTTGTTTTTTTTTTCCCCCAGAAATCAACTTCAGTGTTACAGCTTTCACCCGTAACCTCAGTGCTTTGCTTTCCCTGTGTTGCTGAGTCGTGAGATAAACTGCATTTCCATTTCTTCGGGGTTTCATTGTCCCATCTTTTAAATTTACAGCAGGAGTGGGGAGAGGGAAATACACATTGAATAAGCAAAAGCCCAAACCATGTAAAGATTGTCATGCTTTTGAGGGCTCAGTCGTTTTGGGTTTCGTTGTGGTGTTCTCCCCCAGTCATTCCAGGAGAAAACTGATTTGTCTGGATAGATACAATGGCATTGAATCTTCGGAGGCATTTTACTGTATTTGCTCTTTTTCCTACTTTGCATAACAAATTACGATTTTCTTCTTCACAGGTTATCCAAAGAACTTCTGCTGGATCCACAGCAAACCTTGGTCTTCAAAGTGTGGCATAAAGCAGGTAAAGTTTGCAGTGCGGTATTGAGAGGAGTGTCTTTCCTGCATAAATATAATTGATTTAAAATTTATATATTTTATTTAAAACTGCAGTTTTTACCTTGCGCTAGAAGAATGCTGAAGATAAATACCCATTGATTTCCTGCCCCTCAGCATCCTCCTCTTCCCCATGAATCATCTGGCAAGGCTTGGTTCCTTTGTATTCTTTCCATTTTGAATTTGATGGTATTTTAGAGACTGGATTTTCGTAGCAAAGGGATGTTCTTTACTGTCTTTCACATGTTTCAAAATTGCTCCTGTATCCAATATCAGGATTCACTGGGACAGCTGAAGGCCTCGGGTTTCAAACCTACCAACATAAAAGCTTTTTGTAAGCATTTTTACTGAACCTGCTTTTATTGTTAAATGAGAAAAGATGCTGCTAAGAGTTCAAGGTGGTGTTTGCTTGTTTTGTTGCTGGCCCAGATCCTCCAGTGTTTAATTGTCCCAAGAAAAGGCAAAAATCTGTGTGTTTGTTGTTGGGAACACAGCTCTGGTTCTTCAGTTAAATCTGCTAGAATGTGATCTTTAAATTACTGGGGTTTTTTCTTTCTTTTCACATTAAAGTTCAGCTGACTGATTTCTTGCTTCAGAAGTAAACTTGTGCAATTCAGCCTTTCTCTGGATTATACAGAATATTCCGTGTACACATTGATTCTCCTGCCAATCCCTGTCCCTGCCCTGGTCTTTCATTTTCTCTGCAGGGACGTTTTTAGCTGAAGGTAACTGCTAAAGTAATCCAAATAATATCCTCTTCTTGGATAGACTTGTTTGTTCTGCACTTCAGATAAATTTTCCAAACAGAAAAGACACAAAAAATGCAACAGTGTAATGACAAATCAGCATTTTTTGGAAAGTTTTGACAAAGTGAAAAGGGAAGAAACAAGGGGTTCTGAAGTGAGGATGCGATTCTGGATTGGACTCCAGGTTCATTTTTTCAAGTCTCTCATTGTCTCTTATTTCTAGCCCATTTTCAAGCTGAGTATTTTTCCCTTTATTATGTAAATATATTATTATATTTTTATAAGCAAGGATTAAAATCTTTGTTTAACTAGTTCTTCAGATAAAGTATTGCATAGGACACGTAACCTCCACATCCTTTCTTAACACCTGCACGAGGGCCTCATCCTGCTGTGAATTCCTGCCAGTGGAGGTGTTCAGGTTACCAACAGCTGCAATAACTGTTTTGGCAAATCTGTAGGGAGGAAGCTGGTCTAATTGTTGGAACCAATTTTTCCTTCTTCTCAATCACACGCCATAGGGGTCTCAACGCTGAAGCTTGTTAACAACCAATGTCTAAGTCTTGTTTCTTTTGTCTTAAACTCTATTTTCTATTTCATAGAATCACAGAATGGTTTGGGTTGGAAGGGACCTAAAAGGTCATCCAGTTCCAACCCCCCTGCCATGGGCAGGGACACCTTCC